CTATGGAGAGTTCTTGAAAAGAAAGGAGTTAATAATGCTTATATTCAAATCATTAAAGATATGTATGCATGAGCTATTACTTGTATTCAAACCTTCACAGAAGGTGGTTTGACCAAGTATTTTTTCTATTTTGGTTGGATTATATTAAGGAATAACCTTAAGCCTGTATCTTTTTGCTTTAGTCATGGATGTTCTCACTAGACATTTGCAAGAGGATGTACCTTGATGCATGCTTTTTGCTGATGATATTCTTCTTGTTGATAAGACTAGAGAGGGAGTTGAAGGTAAACTCGAATTATGGAGGTCAACTTTAGAGTCTAAAGGTATTCGCTTGTGTTGATCTAAAACTGAATATATAGAGTGTAATTTTAGTGGCAATAGACCTAGTGATGAGATTGTGACTTTGGGCGATCAAGTTATTTATAAGAGTACACGTTTTAGATATCTTGGATATATTGTTCAGAGTGATGGTGAAATTGATGGGGATATTATCAACATAGTTCAAGTTGGATGGTTGAAGTGGAGGAATGCATCGGGCTTATTGTGCGATAGAAAAATCCCCCTCAAACTTAAGGAAAAATTCTATAAGATGGTGGTGAGACCTGCAATGCTTTATGATGCTGAATTTTTGCCATTAAAAGAGAAGCATAATACTAAGTTAAGTGTTGCAGAGATGAGGATGCTTAGGTGGATGAGTGGCTTGATCCTTAGAGATAAGATACGAAATGAGCATATACGTGAGAAGGTTGGAGTAGCTCCAGTGAAAGATAAGATTAGAGAGAGTCGCCTTAGATGATTTGGTCACATTAAACGGAGGCCTTCCGATGACCCGGTTAGGAAAGTTGAGGTATTAGATTTGACTTATGTTAAGAAAGGTAGAGGTAGACATGAAAAGACTTGATTAGAAAATATTAGAAATGATATTTCTTTATTAGATTTAAATGAGAATTTGACTTTTAACCGGACACACTTGAGAAAAAGGATTCATGTAGCCGACCCCACGTAGTGGGACAAAGGCTTGTTGTTGTTGTTGTTTTATCTGTCCTATGGATTTCACATTATGATATTCCTTTATCATTCAAAGTTGATTCATTATATGCAAATTATTTTTGCATTCCTCTATCTCCCACCTTTATGATACTCATATTCTTTCAATTGTGCACATCAACGGCACACCCCAACACCCAAAATTTTGCTTTCTACAAGCTTATATTCTCCATATGACAAGTCCAAAAACTTTTACAAACTTATGAAGCGATTCTTGAAAGAATATTACAAGCACATGGAAATTGCCCAGTGTGGCTAGCTGATGCATACATCCTGACAAAATTTGAATTAAATTATGTCTAGAAAACAATAATTTGATGCAAACTCATAAGGTACAACTTTTCATGTCTTAAGTTAATTTTGAAAAAATGACTCTATAATGAGAGGAACTCCTGGTTATTTAGCTCCAGAATTGTTGACTTCAATCATTATTGAAAAGGTTGCCTTTTATAGCTTTGGTGTTTTAGTTCTCGAAATTATGTGTGGAAGAAAGAATTTAGATCCTTTTCAGCCTGAAGAAGCTTTTCAGTAATTGCTCTATTAGAAACATTTAAGATCAATTCATTGCCAGATTTTTTTCTGAAAAACAATAGAAGCATTCAGTGGATGATGAAGATGCAATTAAGCTTCTTGGATTAGCTATGTGGTGTCTGCAAAGTGATATTAAAATAAGACCAGCCATGTCAATATTGGTGAAAGTTATAAAAGGTTTGGAAGAGGTGGAATCTACATAGATTATGACTTCTTTGGAACTCATCAAAACTTTGCAGATTAGTAAGAACCACTAATGCTCTTCTTAGTTTGAGAATATTATAGCAGAACATACACAATCATATGACTTCGAATCTACACAAAAAAAAGATATTGAAACAATTATAAACATGTCTTAAGTTAATTTGCCAAAAAAAAAAAAAAAAGATTATTATATAAGAATACCATGATTTATCGCTCTGGTGTGTGGTTTTATAAATATTTTTTTCCCTTGCATTCAACAAATGTTTAATAATGGCATACAACCCCCCCCCCCCCCCCCCTATTTTTTTTATATAGCTTTTCCCATTCGATCACCTGCACGTTCAATTATATATTGAAACAATGATATATTATATTGCAATCTGCATCAATATGCTAGGGCGTGATTTCTATTTTATACTTAAATGTCACTTATTGTTTTCCATTTTTTATCATTAAACACGTCACCATCTTCACACGTATCATTCAACGGGAATCATAAGCTATTTTAAGAATGTTTTAAAAAATTTTATTATTAAAAAGCATGATGTCTACCGTTTTTACTAAATTTTGTTACATCTTATAGAGAAATTTTTGTATTGTTGTTATCATATCCCACGACATTCTGTTTTTACCTATACTCAAGCTTTTCAGTAATCCCTCCTTAACAAACAGAAAGCTTGACGCCGGAGCTGAACCACTTATTCATGATAACTTCAAGCTAGCTTTGTAGATATATTCCTCTTCTCTTTTAACTATTTCTATTTTTCTGGAGATTTACCTGAAATTATTGGTTTAATGGTTTGAGTTTATAATATAAACTCAGTGGGTAACCTTTCTATATGAATATCAATTAAATATGTATAAAATATAATGCATATAACATTTAATACCTGTATATTCATATAACATTTAATATACATATTTTTCATTTGATTTCATTCATTCATTTATAGATTTCACATTATATAAATTTCATAGTAATTCAACATTTATTCCTTTTTCAATTCAATTAGTACAGGAGAACCATTTAAATGTACCAATAAAGATACAACCATTTTCATTTAACATGCACGAGTACGTTGTTTCCCCAGTCAGTACATAACGGGGGTGAACTCCTATAATTTCCATGCATATCCTTTTACCCTTTTTTTCATTCATTCTCTTTAATTCATAAATGCTTCTATAAGTCATAAGATATATCATTTCTTTCTTGATTCTTTAATTTTATTCTTATATGTATATACGAATTATGTATATATAAATATTTTTCAACTTCACTTTCTATTTTCGTTCTATATATTTTCTTTGCATGAATTCTTCCTATAATTATAATTTCTTCAATTGGAAAATAAGAATATAAATTCGTATCAAAATCAAACTTAATTTAATCGTTCACTTACTCTTTATTCCACTTTTAGAAGAAAAGAATTCCTGAATTCTTTCCTCTTTCTCTCAAAATATCTTCCTTTCCACTTTCAATATCTTCCTTTGCCTTCAATTAAATATCCCTCACTGGTTAGATGAAGAAATATGGAAGGATTTATACATAAATGGGAAAAATCAACAAACCTTCTTCTTTCTTCCTCTTAACTGTTCCTCTCGCTAGAAACTCTCCCTCTCGCGATTTCTTCTCCAGGAACAAATGGAAGGAATCTTTCTCACGTGAGAAGTAGTTAATTTACTCACATGTACGTGATCATTCGCTCAAAACCGCAAACCAACTCGCTTGGATCACGTATGCATGAGGGCGGCTTCGCCTGGGTCACGATTTCCATCTGCTCCGTCTCTGTTTCGTTCGTGGCACGTTTTAATTAGAAGTTGACCTGCTCAATCAAACCGACAAGTCTAAACCGGTTCATTACAACATGTTTGTTGTGAAGAGCAGTAGGGAATACTAACATTGGCAGACGTTGAACAACATCGATTTTAATAAGCTACAAACCATGTAGACTGGGACTTTGGAGAAGAGTCTTGTTGTTCATAGAGTCTTTAATAGGAAAGCTAGAAGCATCAAAGATAATATAGCATGGATTATCAGATGTTAATTTGTGGGTTGAGAGTAAATTATGAGAAAGACGAGGAACATGTAAAATAGTAGGAAGTTGCAGCTTATGTGATCGTGTTGGTAAAATACCCTAACCAGAATTTGATAATTGATAATAATTTCTCATTACCAGCCTGAACTTCAGAGGATCCAGTGTAGGGTTGGGAAGCTTGAGGTTGAGCTGAGTTGGAGGAGAGATGAAAGGATGCACCTCAATCCAAAAACCAATCAGCTGTAGAGGAAGCTTCTTGGGAGATATAGGCGTGCTGGGAGGATTGAAATGAGAGATCAGTTTGATGCCAGTATTAAAGCGCAAAGTGGCCAAATTTGTCATAAATATGACATTCAATGGAGGAACGTGATCAATGACCTCCTCGAGCAGTAGAAAATGACATTCGACCACAGCGAGCAGACGCAAGGTGACCACGACCAGGAGCAGGAAGAAATCTACAACCACACGAATGACCACAAACAATTGTTAAAGCAAATGTTGTATCAATAAGCATTGGAGATGAGTTTTCATGAGCTTTGTTGGCAGCAATATTAAGCTCCTTGCTACAGGTAAGCGCATACAAAATCATCGAGACTTAATGGTTGTAGTTTAGTGTAAATAGTCGTTTTAAAGCTATTATATGAACAATGGCATTTACTTTTTTTTGCTTAATTTCAGAGATTGAACAATGAATTTCTCCTCCATTTGTCTCCTTCATTTGTAGCCGATGAAGTTCATTTTCAATTGGAGAATGCGAGAGCGATTTGTATATTGCAAGCGGTGTTCAATTGTTAACCAAATGCGATGACATGAATCTAAATTAAGAACATAGGGAAGCAAACAAGGAGAAATGGTGGAGTAAAGGCCAACAAGTAAGTTTTGATTGATATGCATCCAAATATGAAACTGAGGATTAGCAGTAACAGTTCCATCAGCGGAAATCTAATGTGTAGGTGGTTTGGCAGTAGATAATCATCAACCCATTGGCACAAAACAGTTGAAGAATTTGAAACACTTTTGGATGGGTGATTACGGGAGTTAGCTAAGTGCTAATCACAGTTTTGACATTGGTCATAAGAAATTAAAGTTGAGGAGGTAGAAGTCTCGGAAGAAGCCTTAAGGGTTCAGCTTAGAAATTAGGATGAGAGAAACAAAAATTTACTGGTAGATACGGCAATAGCCGAATGGCTCTGATATCATGTTGAGTTGATACATTGGCAGCAAAAATGATGGAGCAATAGCTGAAAACTAATAATGAAGAGAGGATAAATCCTTTTGTATTTTTATTGTTACGGCCACCAAACGTATACAGGAATGAGCTAATATATATGTATATAAAGCTAGGTATAAAACCAGAGGTTGTTATGAATTAAATGATATGATTGCAGGAGAATTCAACCAATGGTGGGGATGAAAAAGGATATGATGGCTTATCATATATAGCTTAGGGGTTATTATAGAAAGGAGCCGTTTAATTGGTAAAATTAGTAGGAGCGTGAAATAATTAAAATTTAAATAAGAGCAAATTTGTCAAATAATTTGGCGCATTTAGAATGCGCCAAAAAGTTTGGCCTAAATGCGCCAAACAATTTAATATATTCGGTATAGAGAGGAGAGGGAGAGGGACAGGACGGGAGAGAGAGCTGACCAGGGAGAGAGAGAGGAGGGGGGAGAGAGAGTTTTAAAATAATTATTAAAATATTAGTTAAAATAACTATTGTTTAAACAGTTAAAATAATTATTTATTATTAATTAATATTTAAAATCTATTTATACTAATATTTAAAAGATGTTTTAACTAATTTTTAAATATTTAAATGTTTAATTATTTAATCATTATTTAATTTAAGTTGAAATACTATTTTTATAATTTGAATTCCAGAAATATAT